ATGGCGGCGGGGCAAGCGCCAGACGCCGCTGCGCCGAGGCTGCTCCGCGGGGGGGAGGAAGAACGAGCGGGCAACGCCGTCGGCATCGTCTTTTGTCGAGATCCCGGGGTGCCCCCGGGTGTTCTCGTCGAGGTGGCTGGACGCAGCGCGTGAAATCGGCCAGGATGGGCCCTTGGGGGAAAGAGAACTAGGACACTGGTGCTTTCTTATCGCTGGACCCTGGAACTTTCGACCTTTTCTCCAGGACGAAGTCTTCACCCCACGACGTTTTTGTTGAGCCAGCGGTTTGGAAATGGCCTTTGCAGCCAGAGAAATGTTGAAGAGCCTCGGGTGCGACGTTTCCAGTCACCAGGGACCTGGGCTCCTCTTCCTCCTCCTGTTTCTCCTCCTCCTCCTTTTCTTTCTCTTCCGTAGCCATTGTGGATCAAGTAGTTAACATATTTCCCGAGGCAGCTGGCGGTTCAGCCTCTTTCTTTCATATCTTCGGCCCGCCACGGCTGCCCACCCTGCGGTGCTAATCAATCTTCAAAAAAACGAAGCAGACGTTCAAACAAACATTGGTTCAGATAGTTCATTCGCAATTCATTGGCGTGGTTATACTTTCTCTATCTGTATGTGTCCCTCTCTCTGTCTCTCTCTCTCTCTCTCTGTCTTTCTTGGCATCGGAAAGACAATTCGCGGCATTGCATGCCTGAAAAAATGCGCATGGACTCCGACAGCAAACCTTGTCGAAACGATTCCAAAACATTGAAACCAAGCCAGTGGACATCGAGAACGCCGTGAACGCCGCCGAGTTCAATAAAAACCGACGACACGACCGAGATGGACATCGGGACCGCGACCGTGACCGCCGCCGCGAACGAAATCGACACCAGCGTTCTTTTTCATTTTCCGACGCAGAGCCTCGAACCAAAGGACCATGGACGCTCACGGGGACCAGTTGTTCAGTAAATTCGAGAGTGATCAACGGGACTTCATTCAGCAGCAAAACAGGAAGCATGGCAACGCGCTATGCTGGAGCCGCTGGATTCAGCAGTCACTTCCCCATCCCGGGAACACCGTGAGAGGCTTCACGCGCAAGAAGTTCCAACTACTGTACGGACGTGTGCAACGGGCCCCAACCTTCCCATCCCAAAAGCGAAAGGCGTGGGTGGCACATCAAACATTTCAAGCAACTTAACAACCGTCTCCGCAACCAGTTTAGTTGCTTCAGCCTCTCAGCCTGCAGCCATGGCAGGACCTTCAGCGGCGCCTATTCCAGTTGCAGGCATAGCTACCCCAGCTGGAGGACCCCAGCAACATCCCTGGCCACAATCATCCCTCGCAGCTGACGGACAACAATAACTTCAGCAACATTCTGGCAGCACGAGTTACCACCATTACTACCCCAGACGAACACAGGTGTAACGTCCCAATTGCAATTATGAACAGTTTTACATCGACACGAAGCAGTTGCTACTCGACGCTTGGACGGACAAGGACAGGATCTCACGGCCATCAAGGCAGCTCAAGCCAAACAACAAGCACAACATAACAAAGTACACATGTGAAGCCATCTACCGCATCAGCCAACAGTTCAGTCTCTCGGGCGCCGACGTTCCCCATCCTGGACATGGCCAAGCTATCATGTTGTGATCGTGAGCCAGAGCCCACAGTCGCCGTACCCTTTTGCGCCCAACCTGTCGCCACCGACGCAGGTCACGTCTCAATCGCAGAATGGATGGCAGCAGTAGTAATTTGAGCTCAGCACTACCAGATTCACGGGGGAGGATCCAACCGCACATTCATTTTTCAGCTGGTCGGAGGCCGCAAGCTGGCCGCACCGCGAGTTGTGGAACTTGCGCGAGCACTTTAACTTCCTGGAAGAAGGGCGCGCTCATCGTGCAGACGCCGCTCGATTGCGTCACCAAGCAAGGCCAGCATGTCCCGCCCTACGTCAACCCAGACAACATGTCCGTCGCATTCAAGTCGAGACTCAGACCGAAAAGCCCCATCGCCTTCTGTCAGAACCATTACTCAACGCACAATTGGCGCGCGCGTCGCGATCAAGGGCGTTGTTTTTGCAACGCCATCCCCGCCGCCAAATTGGAGCTCACTGGCATGGGCGCTGCAACGGTCATTCCTTGGAACCCAGATGCGTTGGCCAAGGTGCCCATCGACGACAAGGCCACGATCGGTGCCAGCAGAAATTGCCGCCCTCTAAAAGGGCCGAGGATATGGCGCAGTGGATTGAACAAACGATGGTCACCATGGCGCTGGACGTCCACGGATGCAGATCACGCCAGCCCAAGAGGCGGCCAAGGATTGGACTGCGCGCCTCTGCGTCCATCGCGTTATCCCCAGCCTGCGGAAACCCAGACAAGATCCACAAGTCGCTCAACGCGGTCTACCACCAGAAGCTGACCAATGCCCACAGCTTCGCGACCACGGGCCACGCGATCAGGACCCAGCGCCACTGCATCATAAATTTCAGCCCCCAGAAGTCGGGGCACATCTTCTACCCGAGCCAGACCGACTACTTCGTGCGCAGGAGTAGTATTCTTCTTCCGCTACGTCAGTATCCAGCTGAACATCGCAGAAAGCAGCAAGCTCGACCTCGAGCACCAGCGTTGCTGCCAACTCGCTCAACGCCGTCGTCGAAACCGGTTTCGCCGTCTACCTCCACCACTTCGACGACCTGGGGCCCCTCTGGCCAGTGCGTCTGTTGGAATGCGCGTGGACTTCTCTGCCGCGATGAACGCGAGCGATGGGGTGATATGCGACAACCCCACTTCTCGGAAAGAAAGCGCCGGTTGCACTTCTGGAAGTGCATGTGTCGGAACAGGATTTGGAATCGCACGTCGCGAAGTCCCCGTGCAAGTCTGGCGTCTTAGACATAAACGCGACGGCCATCATTCCCCCCGCGGTCCGTGGGCGCGCGGCCACCTCGCGCATGGCCAAATCGCGCCGCAGGCTTCGGAGCGCCCCTCACGGACGCCCACAGTCGCGACCCCCCCGCAGCGGACGCGGCGCGCGCGGCCGCGGCGCGGCGCGCCCCCAGGAGACGGACCGCGACAGACCCACAGAGACGCTCATTCATCGCCATGGCTGGCTTCAACACAAGCGCGGCCCCGTCGCTCAGCTCCCGCGACCTCTCTGCGCGTTGGCGGCCCATGGCGTCTGGCGGGCGATGTCAGCGAGAGCGAACCCGACGGCGCCAGCTGTTCGCGACGATCGCGGAGATCGCGCGCGAACTGCCCGAGCACACCTCTCGGCCAGCGCGCGGGCAGTTGCTGCCATTGACGGGATTTTCGCTTCCCCATCGAGCATGGGCCTCCTCGACGTCGGCGCGGACCTGAGGGCGCGCAAAGATGGGGCGGCCCTCTCTGTCCAAGGGCTCAGCGATCATGCCGTTCTTCACGCGATGCTCAACAATGTCGCAGCAGCCAGGGTTGAAGGACAGGCCATTCACCCCGTGACATACTACGACCCGACGCAACAGCGCCACTTCAACACCCCCATCGACAACATTGCCAAGGCCAGCCCCGCTCCCACTGCGGCCCGGCGGTGGCAGAAGCTCATCATGAAAGAGGGAGGCAGCGCGTCTGGCGCGCAATCTGCAGCAACCAGCGTCGCTACAACCCATGGCGCTGCGACCGATATGCCGCGTCAGTCGGCGACGCGGCTCTGACGCGGCAGCGCTGCCCATGGCTGCGACCGCGCTGGGCAGCTGCCACTTGCGCCTCGCCTCCGACGGCCCCGGGCTCGCCGACAGACGAGTTCGTCGAGGCCATGGGCAGCGCGGCCGCGGCCGACAACGACAGGCGCGACGCCCTCGCCACCAAGCGCCAGAAGAGCAGCTCCGATGGCCCGCTCGACCAGCCGAGCAGCGGAAGGCCGCCGCGCCGCTCGCCGGGCGCGCCCAGGCCTGGAACCCGCTGAGACGTCGTCTCGCGCTCTCTCGCGCGACTCAGCGAAGCCTACCCGCGCCGCCACTTCCTCTCCAGAAAGGGCCCTTGGAGGGCTTCAGAAGTTTTGGCGAGCAGTCGTCTCGGCCAGAATCGTGGGCCCCGACGCGGTCCAGAAGTGCCCCGACATGCACCTCCCCAAGCTCGACTGCGCGGGCCTAAGGGTTCCAACGCTAGAGGATCTGCAGAGGGCCATCCGCAAAGTCCGCCACGCTGCTCCAGGCCCCGATCGGTTCCCCCCGCATCCTCTTGACCTCACGTCGCACATGTTCGAAACAAGCCCAGCCGCGCAGCAGTTCCTCGATCTTTGCCTTCGTGCCTAGAGGTTGCGAGACCCGGGACCTAGATGCAGCGCTCCGCGCTCCAGGTGCCGCCCGCCTTCTTTCGCCGAAGACCTGCGGCGCTAAGCTGATTGCGCGCGCCGTGAACCTCGGCCCGGCGGATGCGGTTCGGGATCGCGCGGCAGATGCGCAGCAGGGTTTCGCAAGGGGTCGAAACTTCGGGCAGCGCATCGTCTCGCTCGATGCTAGGGCGCTCCCCATATTCCTTAGATGCCCGTCCAGTCTTTGTCAGATTTGACATGCGAGCAACTTTCCCACCCTTGCGGTGGGTCTTTTTGTCGTCAGCTCTCGCAGCTGGCGGGCCCCCCGCCCCCCCACCCCCCGCCCACGCACGCGCGCGCGCGCAGCCTATATTAGTTCCATCGGAGCACTCTGCAGCTCCCCTCGCGCCCGGGCCCGAGTAGGCGGCCGTCGTCAGCGCGCGTTTGAAATCGCCCCACGGGTCCTACAGGGGCGCCTCCTATCGGGGTCTATCCGGGCGCTCGCGCTGGATGCACCTACGAGGCGCCAACTAGTTCTCCTGCGCGCCCTTCCTGGATCGAACGAGCTCGGGGCATGCGCAGACGACGCGGACCTCGCCCCTGCTCGCCCGGGGGCCTTTCCGCCCCCCCCCCCCCCTCTCAGGCCATTGCAATTCTCGCGGGGCTCGAGGCCCACATCGAGGAGCCGGCGATTGCGCCCTTGCAGGCCGCCCTTTCGCCAGCAGGTCAGCCCCTCACTCAGCGCCCCCTCGCCTTCCTCGCCCTCCGAACGGCGGCGCGCCCAGGCAGCGGCGCGCGCGCTACCCGGGCGTTCTCACTGACCCAGTCATCAAAGTGAACGTTCAGTGGAGAGCAGCTTCCGACGCGCACTGGCCACGAGTTGCGCGGCTGGCTGCGCCCGCGCTAAGCCCAGCAGTTGCCGTGAATGTGTATGACGCGCGCCTTATCGCAGTTTTCTCTTATCTCGCCCATTATTTCCCCTTGCCCATGTGCCTTTCTTCGCCGCGAGCGCGGCGCGCTGCGCAATATTTTGCGAGCTCCACCCGACTCCCGGCGCCTCTTCGACCTCCTCGGTACTCGCTCGCGGTCGCACTCGCCCACCCCCTTCAGCGCTCGCCCCATGCCTGGAGGGCAGCAAAAGTCACGCCCCCTGCAGGGCAAAAGCTGCTGCGCGAGCTCACGCGCGCGCAAGGCCAGCTAAATCCAGAACTTTCCCTGGCGGGCCTCGCGACGGCTCGCCCGCGGGCCGCGTCTTCCCCGGCGTTTTGGGAGAGCCCCATCATCGTAGAATGCTGGCGTCGCTTCGGCACTGGCACTCCACGGCATCAGTTGCCACTGCAGAAGTGGCAAGCAGCTGAACAAGCAGATGAAGACGAGAAGTCCTCAGCAGCTCGTGACCAGCTGCGGGCCAGGGTTCAGCGAATTCTCTCCTCGGCCCTCCACGCTTTTCTCTACCCCAACACACTCGCCGAAACCCTGACTCGCCGCCCGCCCGCAGCTCTGCCCGAATTAGAGCAGCCGACCGATTTTAACCAGCGCTGACATGAGCTTGCCAGCCACCTGCCTAATCAGGCCCCAATTCTACGATGGGCCGCGCACAAGGCCCTAGCTGGAGCCTGGTGGAGCAGCCATTTCTTCCCGTTCGGGCCCGCAAGATGTGTTTGCTCGGTTGTAATGATTGTTGGGACCGTCTCGGCCATTACCTCGCTTGTCTTCGCCTCCTGCGCCTCTTCGCCTTGCCCCGTGCCTTCTTGTCCCCCGACCCCCTCGTCCGCCGGGGCCTGGGGACATCCGAGCGACGCGCAAACCCAGAGCATGCCATCCAGAAGCCATCCTACGGACGGCCATTTCATTCCACTTCTATAACAAGCTGCGTGCGATCACGCTCACTGCGCCCAGCGCCGCGCTTCTTTGCACTACTGGCGCTGAGTGCATCGCCGCTGCACCGCGCGCCCTGCGGCCCTAGCCGCCGCGCGAACTCGTGGGGGGCACGGTCTCGTGGGAGGAGGAACATCAATATGATTACGAGAGGCGGTGCCCCGCGTGACCCTCGAGGCAAATAATAGAAACGGGGCATGTCCTCCCTCCATCCTCCATCCTCTTCAAATCTCCTTCCCCCACTTTCCCAGATGATTATTGATTCGCGCGTTGCGCGCTGGCGTGCGCATGGCGACGGCGTCCGTTCATTGTCCGACTTATCTCCTTCGGAATTGGCGCTCCTTGCCCCACTTTCGCTCCCCGTCCCCATCTCCCACCTTCCTTCATCTCTTCCATTTCCATCATCCAGATCATCCGTCCTTCTCGGTGCTCTTCCATCCTCCTCATCTTGATCGATGCGCCTCGAAGTGGTTTACGCTCTTCCGCCGACCCCCACAAGGAGTGAGTGTTTGAGTCGATGAGTCTGGGGGTCTCTTGGGCCCCCCTGGGTCCTCCTGGATGAACATGGGTGTGTCTTGGGATGCCTCTTTGGGGCCTCTTGGGGAACTCTTGGGGGCACGTGTTTTTTTTTGAGCCTGACCCTATCGAGCTTTCTTGGAGCCCGTGGGGGGGCCTCCAGGGCCTGTCTTTGGCCGTCTTTGGGGGGAAACTAAGACTATCATTAAACCCTCTTGGACAATTATTTGGTTTTTTTGAAGGCAGTCTTGGGGCGATTTTAGGGGCCACTTGGGCAGTCGTATTCGCTCTCAAAACGTGAAACGCGAATGTGCTGACCATGTTTTTTGTTGGTGGAGGGGGAGAGGGAGCGGATACAACAGCACGATGAAAAACACGGCGACGCAGACGAGAAGCCACTGAGCTACCGCAAATGGCCCGCTTGCGAGCGTAATTGAGGTGTCCAGTCACATCTACGGGCTGTCTTGCGAGAGATGGCGAACATAAATGGTCACCCTCGCACTGACAATCCGTGTCCAACGATCGTGGACACACCGTGAACTACAACACCTACAGTGGCCCCAGATCGGGTAGGGGGACACAGGAGGAAAAGGAATAGGAGGAACAAATACGAGGATGAGGAGGAAGAGGAGGAGGAGGAGGACGACGACGACGAGGCGGAAGCACCACGGAACACAATCAAGGCGAGATCGCAAACACCCCATCGAGTGAAGTAGTACGCCGAGGAACTCAATGAACTCGGAAACCATGTAACTGGTTTAACCTCCGCCACACCCGTGTCGCGGCAGAGGTGCCAACAGGTTGACGTGCCTTACTTCCACGGCCAGGGAGGGCGACACGCTGTACGCGGGCGGCGACTCCCCAGCGGTGGTGGCAGAGCTACAGCAATTTTCCTTGCTATTCTGGAACTCTGCAGGCGGCCGGGGGGGCAGCCGACAGAATCCCAGAGACAGCAGGATACAAACCCCTGGGCTGGCACCAGGCTCCTCAGCAGCGACCCGGCGGACAGGGTGGCGACTAATGATTGGGCGTTGCGTAATGGAGGGGTCATAAATAGGGGGGTGGCGAGGGTGGTCCGAAAAGGTACCCAAACGGTACCTAAACGAGCCCCCTGGGGGTCTAGAGGGGCCCGAAAGGGGCACGAAAAGGGACCTTTTCTGACCCCCCCATTTATGCCCCCCCCATTAAGCAACGCCCAAAATGATGTCCCGGGCTCAAGAGCATGGGTGCAGGACCAACTTGCACAGAGCAATACGCCTGAGCGAAGTACCTGTTCAGAGCTCCGACCAGTACCTCGGCCAGAGCTGGTCGGAACACTAAGCTTCGGCGAGGGCTCCGACCAGCACCTCCGACAAACAACAATACTCGACGATACTTATTTCTTTGTTGGTGGTGGTGCGGGGCGCAGACGCCGCTCTAGATACGATTCGGTAAGGCACTCTTCCATCTTCATCCCCCTCCATCCTGGGGCATCCTCCGTCCTCTTCGTCCTCCTCCATCCTCGCCCCTCCCTTTTCCTCCGTACTCTCCTCCCCGTGACCTTCCGCCTCCTCCGATTCCATCATCATTAACCGTAAGAAGCAATTATCGGCCCTTCCAGTGTTATTCGTAGCACATCCGAAATAAATTAATTTCAGAGGGGGGACCGCCGAACGATATCGTCAGCACCCACAATCAATCTATCAATTCTCTGGGGCGGGGAGGGGGAGCAGCCAATTCTCAGGAATCTTCGGGGACCTGTCAAGGATCCTGCAGGAATCTTCAGGAAACCTTTTAAGGATCGTATTGGAATCTTCCAGGAATTTCAGAGATCCTCAGGGATCTGAAGGGGCCGCAGGAATACTTGAGGAAATCTTAAGGAACACTCAGGAATCCTCACGGATCCTTGGGTTCGATAATTGCTTCCCATGATTATCTTCGTCCTGTGTTGCTTATCATTTCTCCTTTTTGTCTTCGCCTCACTATTCCATTACACCCCGTCCTCTTCTTCTGCGTACGATTATTCGTAATATTATTTGTCGTTTTATTGTTAGCCATACTAATGATATCGGTATCATTGTCATCGTATTCTGAGTACCCGTAGCAGTATTAGTATTAGTAATAGTAGTACATTTACTAGTATTGATATATCTATTAATAATGTAACCATCATCAGCTGCATCAGCATCATCATGATCTTCAGCATCATCAGCATCATCATCAACAACAGCAGTAGCATCATCATCATCGTCATCATCATCAGCAGCAGCAGCATCATCATCATCATCATCATCATCATCATCATCATCATCATCATCATTCATATGCTTACTATCCCATTGCAGTCCTTGTTGCTCAAGCCGTGCAACCCTACGGCAACCCCTTTGCATATTCATATTTGCTTCCGTGCCATTGTAGCTTGGCGATCCACTTCGCCACCGAGAACGGACATTTACGCCAACTGGGCTGAACCACCACAGCCCCAACATGAGTTCTGACACGAGCGCGTGCACGGCCTACTCTGGCGCCCAATGGGCGGGCACCCGGGCAGAGCAGTGGGGCCACTGTGAGAGCCGCTGGGCGGGCGCGGCATACCAGCAGGGACAGCAGTGGGGCGCGGCCTGCGGGCAGCAGTGGCCCAGCTGCCAGCAGCCATGGGCCTCTGTGGCACAGGCATGGCCGCAGCACTGCTGGCAGCAGGGCCAAAGCCTTGCGATGGGCGCGGGACGGGGTGGCTGTCAGATGCTCAACCTGGACCAGTTTTCGGATGCTTCCGACTCTGACGACGACGAGCCGCTGCCTCGTAAGAGCGAGTGCCCATCGCCAGCGCCCCGCGCCGCCGAGCCGGCAGAGCCGGCGGCAGAGCCTTCGCCGAACCAGCGCGCGAGCGCAGAGGTCGTGCTGCCGCCGAGCAAGGTGCCTTGCACCCCCGGCGAGGCGGACAAAGCCTCCGACAGGAGCACCGACGACTCCGCCACGGACGCCGACGGCTCGGAGTCTGCCGAGCTCTGCTCCCTCAGCGCCGGCGAGCCAGAGCCCGAGGCGGCGGACGGGCCAGAGGTGTCCCGGCGGCTGCAACAGGGGCGGACAGCCCAGGGAGAGGGCATCTCACGTATCCAGGGCCTCCGATCGCCCGCGTCTTCGACGAGGCTCCCTGGCGAATGTACGTGTAATGCCCGCCCCTAGGCAAGCCACCCCTTTTTATCTCCGCTGGGCGCCCGAGGTGGCCCTCTTGGAAGCAGCTCCCGATGTGCCGCCGATTCCACTCAGTGAGCTGCTGCGCCTGCGCCAGGCAGGAGGAGGCGAGTCGCCGCGCGGCACGAGCCACATCTCTGGCACCCTCTTGGCCACGAGGCCCCCCGCCGGGACCGGCAAGCCCAGGACTTCGCCGAGATCGCCGCCGCAGGAGCCTGCGCGCTTCGGCGCTGGCAGGAAGGGCGGCGGTGCAGGCCGCCGCTCGCGGCCGCAGCCGCAGCCAGCTGCGCAGGAGAGCGCAGGCTGGAGAGCGCAGCCGGCTGCGCCGGAGAGCCTGTCGGTCTCAGAGCAGTCGTGGGCCGCCAGGCAGCGGGCACGCCGCGGCGAGGTGCCGGATGGCGAAGCCTCGGAGGTGGAGAGGAAGCTGAAGTCTATCCTGAACAAGCTGACCCTCACCAACTTTGGCTCCCTCTGTCAGCAGCTGCTCGATTGTGGTGTTTGGGCCGACACGCACCTGGAGCTGCTCATCGGAGAGCTGTTCGAGAAGGCGACGACCCAGCACCACTTCATCGACATGTACGCGAATCTCTGCGTGGTGCTCCACGACCACTTCACGACAAACCCGCCCGTGTGCGCCGACTCGCGCTTCAACTTCAAGCGACTTCTGCTTAACGCCTGCCAGGCGTCTTTCGAGCGGCACCTCGCACCCCCTGAGGGCCTCGACCAGCTCAGCGGCGAGGACCGGACAGAGGCCGAGGTCCGGTACAAGACGATGATGCTGGGCAACATCCGCTTCGTCGGCGCCTTGCTCGTGCGGCAGATCCTCGCGAGCAAGGTCCTGCTCGCCATCATCGCCGAGCTTCTGTCGAGCCCCACGCGCGAGGCTCTGGAGGCCCTGACCGCGCTCCTGGTGGTGGTGGGTCCGAGCTTCGACACAGACGAGTGGGCGCACAAGGACAAGCTCGATGCCGTCTTCGTGGAGATGGAGGCCATCGCGGCGCGCCCCTCGTGCGAGAAGCGGTCGCGCTGCCTGCTGAAGGACGTACTGGACATGCGCAAGCAGGGGTGGAAGGACCGCCGCCCCAAGCAGCTCGAGGCTCCCACGCCGAAAGATGCCCCCAAGCGCGCCGCGGCGCCAGCACCGCGGCAGAGCAGCGCGCCGATGGCACCTGCGCCCCGGCAGGCACAACGGCCGACGGTGCCCGTGAAGCTGGCGGCGCAGGGCTCCTCCGCGGAGTTCCGCGCGGAGCTGTCGAAGGCCCTGGTGGAACTGCGGTGCTCCGGCGACGGCCAGGAGGCCGCCGCCCGCATCGCCTGTCAGCCACCGCCAGCAGCCACGAGCCAGCCAGAGGATCGGCTACATTCAAGAGTGACTCCTTCGCCAGAGTGACCTTTGGTGCGGGCCCATTGGGGCCCCCCGATCGCAGAACGCGATGCGGTAGTAGCGTCTTGTGCGCTCGTGTTTGGTCCCCCCGCGCCCCTCAAAAGCCGCGCAAGAATTGTCACTCTTACCCAGGGTCGCTCTTGCGTGTAGTCGAGAGGAGCTGTGCCACATGCTGTCGCTCATCTGCCAGGAGTCTCACAGTGTCCACCGCAAGGCGGGCTTCCGCGCGGCTGCAGGGCTATTCCTCGACGGCCGCTGGCGCCCAGCCGCAGCCAGCCGTGGACTGCACGCCCTCGCGGGACTCTGTGAGGACCTCCAGCACGACGTACCCACTCTGCCGAGCATCTTTCAGGAGGAGCTGCGACCCGCGTTCGTGCCACTGCTGTGGCGCGGGATGCTAGAGGAGGGCGCGCTCGCCGCGCTGCCCGGCCGCTGAGGCGCTGAGGTGTAATTCCTGCACGCCCGGTGGCAGCCCGTGGCCGCCAGCGTTGCAGCGTTGCGCTCGCTGTTGGGACCCAGACCTCTGACCTCCAACGTCCCGAAACAGTCAAGACGGATGCTCATCGTCGTTTTCGCCATCTGCGGGACCGTGCCTGGGCCCTGTGCCAGTCCCAAAAGATCCCGGACGAAAAAAAAGCGGTCCCTGGGAAGTGGTCCAGAGGCCAAGGGACCCCACATATTGGAAAAGGCGAGGCCTCGGAAGTCTGGAGGTTCTATGGAGTGATACAGCACACTCAGCAGGCGAACGGCTCATGCGCGTTTCCTCTCGGCGCGCATATTTTCCGAGCCGACGGCTTCCCTCCCCGAGCGCTCCCGCTGCGTGGGCCGCCCGTGGCTCGCGGGCTCCTGGGCCAGAGGCTCCTGGCCCGGCCCCAGGAGACACATGAGCGAGCAGCGAGCCGGGGCCTGTGCAGAGAGCCTTGTGGGCGGCGCGCTCAAGGGTGTGGCGCGAGCGGGGGCGGCCTCTTGAGAGTCTGTCGGGGCCTCTGACAAGACAGACGGCCTGTCCGGAGCCCTCCCGGCTGCCAAGAGGGCCCTTCCAGGGAGGCCCCCTGGCTTCTGAGAAGCCCCTCGCCTCAATCATTAGAAGGCCGCCCCCCATCGCGTCATCCCCCGGTGCGCGCCGCCGTTCCTGGGGGGCCCAGATCCGAGGGCCCTCCTCGCCGCCATGACGCCACCGCCGGAGGGCTGGCGCGCGCAATTACCAGGCAGCCCCGCCGCGCAGAGGCGTCTGGGCGCGCCGGCCGCCACCGCGTCCGAGGCCCATGAGGCCTTTAGGGGCAGCGTCAGGGGGGGGATGGGCTCAGGCAGAGACGCATCGACCCCCGATCGCCCATTTATCGCCAACTGGGGCCCGATAGCCCACCCCGCCCAGGAACAGTGGGATTCGCCAATGATCGGGGGCCTCTCGCCGATCTACGGGCGGTGTATCGCCGATTTCAGCTCGATGTTTCCCCCTGAGCTGGTCCCCCCCTGACGTTGCCCCTCATGGTGGAAACCAGGCCGATGAGGCTGCACGCTGAGCGCTCCGGCCAACGGACCGTTTGAATTCAGGCCTCCCAAGTGGGGCCAGAGTGGGGGGCTCGGAAGATCGCGCCGTATGGACGATGCGGCTCGATTCGGAGCTCGATCTTCTGCATGCCAGCGTCGCGGTGCGATCCTCCGATCCCATTTGCGTACTCGGACCCCATGTGGGATGCTTCCGTTGAAGGGTTTGAATGTTGCCCACGGTGTCCCTGACCCAAGGTGTGTCCCTTCTTTTCGCGCCATCTTGGAGCCCTCAGGGCCCTGTGGGCCTCGTGAGGGTTGCTCTGGAAACCGCGGGGGCTCTCTGGAAATCCTGGGTGCACCCTGGGTCAGCAGCACCACTGTTCGTATTATTGCTGATCCTGGAGGCCGCGCGCAACCTGAACATTGTCATACTGCTGTCGCGCAGGGACAATTTATCGCGCGTCACGGTCAATTTGCCTCTCCCCCTCTCCTCCATCCTCCTTCTGCTATTCCGCCTCCTTCTTAACCTTATCATCATTATCCTCCAGCTCTTCCTCCTCTCCCTCCTCGTCGTCCTCATCCTCCTACTGCTCTTAATATCCTCCCTCTTCATCCTCTCCTGCATCTTCCTGCTTCTTCGCCTGCTTCCTGGTCCTTCTTATAGCTATGTTTTTTCATGTTGTTGCTGATCCTTCTCTCTCTCTCTCATCCTCTCCCTCCTCCGCCTCCTCTGCTCCTCCTCGTGCTCCCTCCTCCTCCTCTCGCGAAGTGTCCTCTGATGGTCCTGGTGCCCGAGATGGGCCTTGCGAGGCCGACATCGAGCGAAAATTCCAGCACCCGAGGGGTCACGGCTACAGAGCGTTGAGTCTGGAGGAGGAAAGGGACGAAGGTGAGGGTGGGGGAGGAGGAGGATGAAGAGGGTGCGGAGGTGGAGAAGGAGTGAAGAGTCGAGATGGTGATCTTTCTTGTCCGACCCTGCGGAAAGAGCCGACCCAGCGCCAACAAGGAGTTTGCTTGCTCGGTTCGCCATTCTGGCACAAGACTACCTCGGCTGGAGTCGTCCCTCTGAAACGGGGAGAAGGGGGGGATACAGGCAGGAAGGCATGCAGGCAGGGAGGGATGCGTGCGGGATGAGGAGGAGGTGGAGGAGGCGGAGCAGGACAAGGAGGCCGGTCAGGAGGTTGCAGAAGATTACGAATGAAGAGTGCGAAGAGAAGATGCAGCGTCGTCCTTCAGCTGATGCGGACGGCTCCAGACGAGGCGGCTCGGGCTATAGTCAGACTGTCGAAGTGTCACGCCAAGTGCCGTCACGGGGTGTACCTATAGGCTTCGCTTCGCAGGAGGAGGGGAAGGAGGAGGTGGAAAAGGAGAAGACGGATGATGAGCACCTGGAACATTTTCCCATGACCCCTCTCAGGACTCCATAGAACCCTTCGAGACACCCTGAAAGACCTTCACCTTGCCCCCTCGCCCCTTCTCTTCGTTCCCCCTTGGGGTACAGTTGGACCACGGTATAACATCAAGGTCGGTTCGGGGAGGGTACCCCGATGTTCGTTATGTTTGTTGGATGTTCTTGCGCACCCTGCGGAGGGTACCCTGGGATGTTCTGTGTGATTTGGCCGGCGGAGGGTCTCGTGTTCTTGAGGATGTTATTATGTCCTATGTCTGGCTGCAGAGGAGGGGGCAAGAAAGGAGGAAGGGAGGAGGGCGGATGAGGAGGAGGAGGGGCGAGGGAGGACACGGGCCCGATTCGGCTTCAGGCCCATCAGAGAACCCCTAGGAGGGCTTGAGGAGGCCAAAAACATGGATGCTCCTTTGTTTTGTGTAGGTTTTCAGGATTCTCGCCCTGTTCAAGCTTCCGACGGCCAAGGACGGCCCAAGAGGCCCCAAAGACTGTCCCAAGACGGCCCAAGAGGCCCACAAGAGCGCCCCAAGAGGGCCCCCAGACGGCCTCCAATGACACGGGCCCGATTCGACCCGTTTCGGCTTCGGTCCCGTTTCGGCTTCGGCGCGTTTTGGCCTCTGCCCGTTTCGGCTTCGGTGCGTTTCGGCTCGACCCGTTTGGGCTCCGCTCGTTTCGGCTTCAGCCCGGTTCGGCTTCGGTCCGTTTCGGTTTCACGGCCCCGGTGCTAGCGCGAACCTGAAAGCCGAAACGGACCGAAGCCAGACCGAGCCGGAGCCGAAACGGGCCAGGACGAAACGGGCCGGGACGAAACGGGCCGGGACGAAACGGGCTGGGACGAAACGGGCCGAAGCCGAAACGGACCAGGACGAAACGGGCGGGGACAAAACAGACCGAAGCCGAAACGAGCGGATGAGGCCGAAACGGGCCGAAGCAGAAACGGGATTCGAGTCCCGTTTCGGCGATAAACACGAAACGAACACAGGAGCTCCAGCGAGGCTCGGAAACCTCTTTCGGACGAGGTGCCCCTAACCATTACGTGCCCTCGTTTGCGGTTCCCGAACCGACCCCAGACCCGTCCGAATTCGCACCCGACCGTACTCGCACCCAACCGAACTCGAACACGCGCGCGCGCGCCCCCAAGACGGCCCAAGAGGCGCCCAAGACGGCCCCAGAGAGGTCCACGACGGCTCCACGACGGCCCAAGAGCGCTCCAGGAGAGTCCAAGACCGCCCAAGAGCGTTCCCAGATGGCTCAAGATAGCTTCCAGACGGTTCGAGGAGGCCCCAAGATGGTCCCAGAGGTCCTTGAGGACCCGAGGGGGCCAGGAGGCCAAACATTTTGAATTACCACAAATTGTTGTACGTGTTTAAGGCCGAGCTCCCAAGAAGGCCCTAAGTGGCCCCCAAGAGGTTCTCAAGAAGGCCCCCAGAGGCCCCAAAGAAAGCACCAAGACGGCCAAAGTCCTCCAAGACGCCCCAAGACGGCCCAAAAGGGCCCCAGGACGGCCCAAGATGGCCCCAGAGGACACAAAAGGGCCCCAACAGGACCCTCAAACAGGCCCAGAGACCCCATAACAGAGGCTCCCAAGAGCTCACATTGACGTGACAAGCTCGTAACACCAAGGCTCCCAAGAGCGAGCGGTGACTAAAACAACTCTTAGCGCCAAGGTTCCCAAGAGCGAGAGGTGACGTGAAAAGTTCTTCACACCAAGGCCCCCAAAGAACGGTGACGTTTGAAGCTCTTCACACCAAGGCTCCCAAGAGTGAGTAACGTAAAAAGCTCTGAACACCAAGGCTCCCAAGAGCCCATAGTGACGTGATAAGCTCTTCACACCAAGGCTCCTAAGAGCAAACGGTGGCGTGAAAAAGCCCGTGGCACCAAGATTCCCAAGAGCTCGTGGTGGCGTGACACGCTCTGAACACCAAGACTCCCAAGAGCGAGCGGTAACGTGAAAAGCCCTTAACACCAAGACTCCCAACAGCAAGCGGTGATGTAGCAAACTCTTAACACCAAGGCTCCCAAGAGCGAGCGGTGCCATGAGCCATCTTGGGCATGTTTCTGAAACGCGCTCCCCGTTCCCGTGCTGGCACAGGTGACGGAAAAAGCGAGGTACGAGTGATGACGTTTTGGTGGGGCGAATAGGGAGGGGTTTCATGGGGAGGGGCGAAGAGGGAACGTTTGGGCGTAACACGCCTGCACGGCCCCAAGACGGACCCAGTGGCGCCCAAGACGGCCTAAGATACCCCTAAGACGGCCCCAGAGAGGCCCTAGATGGCTCCACGACGGTTCAATATCGCTCCAAGACAGCCCAAGACCGCCCAAGAGCGTTCCCAGATGGCTTAAGATGGCCTCGAGACGGTCCGAGAGGGTCCCAAGATGGCCCCAGAGGCACTTCAGAGGATCCCCGAAAGGGTTTGAGGAGGCCAAAAACATTGATGTTCCTTCTTTTGGGGTTCTCGCCTTTTCAAGCTTCCAACTCCCGAGGACGGCCTAGAAGGCCCCAAAGACGGTCCCAAGACCGCCCCAGAGTCCCCCAAGAGCGCCCCATAGGGCTCCAAGACGGACACGGGCCCGATTCGGCTTCAAGCCCGTTTCGGCTTCGGTCCCGTTTCGGCTTCGGCCCGTTTCGGCTTCAGTCCGTTTCGGCTTCGAATCGAAGCTGGAACGAGCCGGAGCCGAAACGGGCTGGGACGAAACGGGCCGAAGCCGAAAAGGACCGGTACGAAACGGACAGAAGCCGAAAGATACCGATGAAGCCGAAACGGGCCAGAGCCGAAACGGGCGCGCGGTGGGCCGCGGGATGCACGGGCCGATGTGGCTTTCTCCCCAGAGGTCTAAAGAGGTCCGAAGTATGTGTTTGTCAATGCAGGCATCGTGCTACCCCTAGGAACGCCAAATAAGGAACAAACAGGTCTTCCGACCCAGGTCGAAGGCGCAACCCGAAAGCCACAGCCCACCCTGAGCCGAAAGTGAAACAATCGGGCCCCCCAGTCCCATCCCTCTCACAGGGCCAGATTTTCCCAGGAATGCAAGTTTTTTGAAGCTCGCGCAGCCTGGTGGGGGGCCACCAGAGGCCGAAAACGAGGAACAAAACTTTGATTGATTCTATAGGCTTACGCCACATCCGCCGACCCCTATACAAACTACTGCGCCGCCAGGACTGCATTTCACGAGGCTTGTCCGAATCATGACACGGCGCTCGACATCGTTCCTGTTGCTTCGTTGCTGTGATCGCACCTCTAGGTGCTCTTTTGTGCACTTTTGGTGGCATCCTGGCCTGTGTGCAATCGGTCCAAAAACCGGACGAGTGGTTCTCAAATGGCAGGCGGTGTATCCTGCCACCGTGCTTGGGTTGCGGGTGTGCGACCACACGGATGGTTGATGGGATCTCGCGGGAGGCCTGACGGGGTCGTCTTGCAGGTAGTTTTGGGGCCTCTTGGGGGCTTCCTCGGGGCTTCTTAGAGGCCTTTGAGGTTCTCTTGGGGGTCCCTCAGAGCCTCTTGGGGCGTTCTTGGAGCAGGCTGGGGGCGTCTTGGAGCCGAAGGCTCGAAAAGGTGCCCTCTGGACTCCCTCTTGGAGCCGTCTGGGGGCCCTCTTGGGCTGTCTTGGGGGCTTCGTGGGCTGTTGTTCGACCCTCTTCGACCCCTCTTGGGGGCACCTTCGGCCGTCCGGGGGCGATATTGAAGGTTTCTTTGCCCGTCGTGGACGTTGTGAAAGCCGAAAAGGCGAGTATGCGAAACATGCTTTTTTTTTGCAAAGGGAATTGGATGATTTTTGTTTCTTGGGGCCCTGTTGGGACGCATCTTGGGGGCCTTTTTTGGGGCGTCTTGGCAGCTGAGGCCGTCTGGAGGCCATCGTGGGCGTCAGCGAGCGACCCGTGGCCCTCTGGGACCGTCTGGGGAGCGTTTTTGTGCTTTCTCGGCCCGTTTTGGAGCCCTCCGCTCCCCCATGACGCGTTCGGTCCTTTGGGTCGTCCTAGGCAGGGGTGGGGGGTCGAATTGCTTGTTGGGGGTCCCTGGTGAGGGGTTAAGGGGATAATTTCACACGCCTAGACATCCACAAGGGGTCGGCGGATTTGGTTCAACACGTTGGAGGCCTAGGTCAGCATAAGCAGCAGAGGGTCAGGGGTGGCCTAACCGAACCCCAGCAAACCGACTCCATCCGTGGCGACCCCGTCGCCTCGCTCCAAGACCTGGGCTGGCGAGGGGGTCGTCACGGTCGAGGGCGAGGGTGTCGTCACGAGGGCGGGGAGGTCAGGGACAACGTTCAGGGAGGACAGGCTCAGTGGGGAACGCATCGACTCCCAATTGCCCATTCATCGCCGACTGGGGCCCGAGGGCCCACCCCGCCCAGGAACGTGGGGGCTCGCAAGCCGATTTCAGCTCGACATTTCCCCCCTGAGCCAGTCCCCCCCGAACGTTCCCCCTCACGGAGGGGGCCACCACGCGGGCGATAGGTGTCGTCACGGGAGGGGCCAGTCACGCAGGGGCTCGTGTCAAGCCGCTCCCGAGAGGGCACCGCCCTCCCAGGCCAGCCGCGCAGCGCCCCTTGCCCGGCGCCGCGCCCGGAGGGCAGGACCCGCTGGAGGCGAGCCGCCGGACCCAGGGGGGCTCCTGGGCGCCGCGACGTGTATCTGCGCATGTGTATGGTCGCGTTTTCAAACGTCCGTGTCCCTAGCCACCCGCGGCCGTCAATGCCTACCCGTCGGCATTTCTATCAAGCTCTGTTTCGACGGCCGGCGCACGCTGGCTCTCCTCTCCAACATCCGAGCTTCTTTCACCGCCTCCCGAGGGTTCAGCGGAGTGGCAGGCGCCTTGGGGGGATTGGCTCAGATTGTGCTGTGCTGGAAGCGAGCTATCAGTGGGTGCCGTGGCTTCTGCTCATTGTCTGGTCCTGGGGCTTTTTCTGTGGTGCGACAGTGGCTTGTATCTATGGCAGCTTTCGGCGTGCGAGTTGGCCGCCGGCTCAACGTGCAGTGGGCGGCCGGCGAGGATTGGCAAAGTCGGATCATCGTGGGGCCAGCTGCCCGCGCGGAGCTGGCCGAGACTATGGAGATCAACGCCACCAGGGATCAAACGAGAGATGGGAAGATGTGGTTTTGTTTCACGCCCGATTTGGACGTATACCCGGTGCTAGTGGACAGCCCCGCTCTGCGCGTGGTGGAGTTGCTGGAAAACGACGGACGGGTTCTCTGGAGGACTGGCCGTCGCTGCGGCGGGAGACAGGTGCACGTCTCCACCTGGGAGCCCACCGCCCTCGAGCTGTTCGGCGCGGCGACGATGGTAGCTCCGACGAACAGCCCTACTCGGCGCCAGTCCAGGAAAGGCCCATTGCAGTCATCGGTTCCAACAGCGAGCGGAATCATGCCCTTGGTGAACATTCAGATTGGGACTAAAGTGTTGCCTGACGCGAAGCCCTTGAGATGGTATATATATATATATACATAAGTATGTCGCATCCTGGCCCAACAAGGGGGAGCAGGACAAGGAGTTCCCTCACAGCGTGGTTGATGAGTACGCTCGATTTGGGGACGCTGCCATCGCGATCGCGGGCACGGGGATGTACGTCCTCACGGCTCTCGACCCGAAGGATGGCGTGACGCAGGTAGTGCGCGACGATCGTCTGCCAAAGATGGCCCTGGACCAGAATGGGGTGCGTAAACAGCTGTACCGCAACGCCGTGTTCGAAGTTACCGAGTAGCAGCGGCCTGGTTGGTCCTGGCTGGGGCCGCGTGCGAGACGGGGTCTGGTGCCGCGGACCCGGGGGTGGCCGACCACGAGCTGGCGACGTGGGCCTTCGAGTTCGCGCTGGTCTACGACCAGGTCAACGTGGGGGAGCTCGCCAGCTTCGAGTTGATGGCGAAACGGGCGCAGATGGCGGAGCGGAGGTGCCGCGATCGCCTGGCGCCGAAGCGGGCGGACGACACGGTGGAGGACGAGCACCTGCGCGCGGGGGCGGGGGAGACGAGGGGCCTCGCCATGGCGTCGCCCCTGCTCGTCGAGCATACATCATCGGAGCTTCATCGCGAGAGCCAGGTGTTGAAGGAGAAACGGAAGTTGAATGGGGGGAGCGTCAGTTGGCGAAGGGCTCTGGCGTCGACGGCGAGACGAAGGAGGTGCTACGCAAGGAGATAGAGAGTCAGGCTGCGGAGTTTCGCCGTCCCGGCAGGCCGCCGCCGGAAAGGTCCCGACGGCGGCCGCGACGGCGGCCGCAACGGCAACTGATCGCCGAGATGCCTGCGCCTCGGGAGCCGCCCAGGGCTGTTTCCGCGTCCGAGGGGATCCAGGACTTCTGCGGCCGCCCGCCCTCGGGCAAGTTTTTGGTTCTGAGCGCGCGGGCTGCAGTTCAGAGCGTCGGCGCTCCCGGCGCGACAGGCGCGGCAGTCTGTTGAGAGCTGCGCGCCAGCGCGCCGGTCTACTCCATTGAGCCGGCGAAGCCCGCCGCCATCCAGCGTGACTTGGTCGCGCTGCCCTCGCCTGGGGCCAAGTGCGATGGCCCCCGCGTCTCGCAGGGTGAGGCGCTCTTACTTCGGGGAGACTTGCAGCAGCTGTTGATGCGGAAGTTGCTGCGGAAGCGCCCCGAGACATCCGCAGCGGTGCTACATTGCGACGCCACGCTAATGCAGAGCAAGTCCAGCTACGCAAAGTTCGTCGTGGACATGTTCGAGGTCATGCTGGTCGAGTTCGGCCAGCTTCGAGATGCTACCCTCGGTCTGCTAGTTGTTCCCAAGTCCGATGGGAAGTTGCGGCTCATCTTTGATGCCCGGCGCGTCAACCAGCCGTTCGTTCCTCCGGCTCATGATGCCTTGCCTGCGGCCGGGTGCTGGGAGGGCCCCATGCTGGGGCCCGACAAGGAGCTGCGCCTGCCTGGCCCAGGCGGACGTGGAGGCGTGCATTTATCGCATGGGCGCCCCGCCCGGCGTGCAGGAAGTGTTCCTCTTGCCGCCCGTCAATTGCTCCCATCTCCGCTTTCTTCGGCCAGATCTCGTGCCGCCCGATGGCGGCCAGTGCTCGCCCTTGCTCGCAGCCCTTCCCACGGGCTGGAACTGGCCATTGTTTTTCTGCCAAGAGATGATCGCTCAACGCGCGTGCCGAGCCGGCTACCTGGACCCCCGCCTCGTTGAGGGTACGCGGGCGGCCCCTTCGTCGGCGGTTCAGGCCGCGGCGGCGGTCTACGTCGACGAGGTCGCGGCGGTCGGCTCGAATCGCCAGCGGGCGAAGGAGGATCGTCGTTCAGTTGGCGCCGCCCTCCACGCCGCGGGCCTGGCGGCAAAGAACATGGAGCTGCCGTTGGACGAGCGGCTCTGAATTCGCCAGGCCCACTTTAGCGGAGGCCGGGCCGCGTCTCAACGTTTCGGGGCTGGGCGTGGAAGATCAGGCGCTCGCCCCAGTGCGCTGCGGAGGCCGACGGGCTGACTGGGGCGCAGATGCGCGCGCTGATCGGCCGCTCTGCACCTGGGCGACCATTCTGCGTCGCCCGCTGCTGGCCGTCTTCGGCGCCTGCCGCGCGTTCGCCGAGGAGGCTGGCGAGCGGGCCCAGCGCCCTCGAGCTACTGTGCGGCGCGAGCCTCGACTGGGAGCGGCCCTCGCGGCGATGGCGTTCGTCGACCCCCGCCGCCCCGCGTCTTCGACCGCGGCGGCGACGGACGCGTCGGGAGGCGAGCTTCCCGCTGCAAGCGACTTCGACGGCTCCGGCGCGGTGGGCCGCGAGGTGGGCGCCGCGCCCGTCGCCCGCGCCTTGCAGCTGCGCGAGAGATGGAAGTTCAAGACTCTTGATTGTCTGGGGGCCCGGGCGTCGGCACTGGGGCTTCGGGGCGACCGACCCTTCGGGCGCTGCCGAGCAGAAGCTGCCTACATCCCCTGATGCACCTCATCGCCGTCACATCGCATCGCGGGGGGGGGGGGGGGGCAGAGCTGCGCGAGATTGGGAAGGACGCATAGGGGTCGCAACGGGATTGGAAAGTATGTTTCAACGGTCGTTTCATTCGAGGTGCGGACATCGTATTTTTGGATGGCGAGGCGTTGCTAATTGGGGTTCGACACTTCGTGCGCAATGCTGCCAACCATGGTCGTCGCTTGCTGCTGGACTCGGACAACATGGGACTAGTGCTTGCTGCGGGGAAGGGGCGCTCGTCGGTGCCTACCCTCAACTTGCTCCTCCGATGTCGCGCCTCGATCGCCATCTTCACCAATGTCGACGTCGTGAGATGGATTTCGCCCCAGCGCTACCCTGCCAGCGCCCCGTCGAGAACCCTGGAGCTCGGGCTCGAGACGCTCGAGAGGGCCCAAGATCCTTCGGCGGGCGCCCCCCGGGCCGACTACGAGGACGAAGCGCCATGGCGAGCCGCTGCAGATGCCCTCTCCTCCGAAGGGGGTTTGCCGCCGCGCAGAGCCGGGGCCGCGGGCTTCGGCGACGCCCTCGCGCCCGCCTCCGAGGCCGGCGGCATCGGGTTCCACCGCGGGCGTCTTGGCCAGCGGGCAGGCTCGGACAGCGCCCGTGAGGAGAGCGAGATCAGCGGAGGATCGGTCGAAAGTTGCAGCTCAGACCCAGGCGGCGCAGCCGGCTGGGGCGTCGTCAACGTTCCTCCAGGCCCGCAAGATTCGGAGCTTGTCCAAGGCGCACTTCGCGGCCTCGCACTAGCGGCTCGCAAACTGGCGCCTGGCCCGCGGGGCGCCCGCGCTGACGGCGGAGGAGATCGACAGCGCGATCAGCGAGCTCCTAGACGAGATGTTCATCGACGGGCACCCTGCCGAGGCCGGGTCTGAGGCGATCGCCGCGGCGCGCCGCCCCCGCCCCGAGACGGCCTGGTCAGCGGACCTGGCCGGCAGCCAGGCGGCGCTGAAGGAGTTCCGCGCGCTGGCGCCCGCGAGGACCGGGATGCTGCTCTGCCGAGAGGTGGCGCACTGCCTGGTCGGGCTGGCGGCGCCGGGCCGCGAGCTGGAGTTCGCGGAAGCGCTGCGCCTGGCTTGGGGCGCCGCCCTTCGCCTGCCGAGCGACCTCCCGCAGCCGCGCGCCCATCGCCGGCGTCGCCGCGGCCGGGACAGCGAGTGGGCGCGCGGAGCCCCTTCCTGCGCGCCGCGGAGCAAGGCGAAGCAGTTCGACGAGGGGGCCTGGATCACCTCGACGGGCCCCGCCGCGCCCAGCCCCGCCCCCCGGCGGCTGCGATGCAGCCCGGGCGAGCTGCCGCCGTGGAGCTTCGACGCCCAGGTGTTCGGCCTGCTCTTCAGGAAGTGCGCGGACTTGATCAACCTGCAGGGTCCACGTCCGCATCGAGCGCGGCGCGGATCGGCCATTTGAGACATCGCCAGCGAGAAAAGGACAATCGAGGCGGCGCAGGCTCTGCCGCGACACGCCAGCGCCGCCAGCACACAGCGCTACAGCAGGGCGGCGCGCTGCGCCGCCGAGCTGGAGAAGGCGCCGAGAGATGCGAGGGATTTCGGTGCCGCAGTGCTGGCGCAGCGGGGGCAGGCGCTGCAGGGCCGCGGCCGACTGCCGACCCGCCCCCTGCGGCCGCCAGCGGAATGGTGAGAGCCGTCGGTGACGCGATCGATCCGCCCGAGGCCGTTTCCTTCGCCCCTCTCCGCAAA